TTTTCAACCCAAAAGCTCTTGAAGGATGAGATTTTTTACACTATCTCCAGAATACCAAAGTCTCCCGACTTCCTCAGTCTTAAAAGGAGCCAAGGTTAACTTTGATTTCCCCAGGAACAGAATCCGGCCCTTGACACTGAATATTTTTTGGCAGGTGGTTGTTGTTACTATGGAGCAAAATTCCAAGATGTGACTGGCAAGCTCTAGAGTACAACAAACCACATCAAACATGCAGAGGGTGTMCTGGCACTTCGTACTTGAATTGCCAAATGCAGAATCTGTCAGAGGAGTGAGACCCAGAAAACAGGAAAAAATTAAGGAGTACTGGTTAACAGCAAATTGTATCTTCATTCTCTTGTTGGGATGTGGCAAAGTGACATCACTGTAGTCATGTAGATGTGTCATAAGGGATTTATCTTTTCAGCCATGAAAGAGTAAGAGAAAGGTGTGGGGCTGTTTGGATTTTCCCCTGACAAGTTAAAATCTGCAAATATTGAAGTGGATGATGCTGCAGCCAGAAATCCACGTGGCTCCTGTGGCACATTCCTTTTCCTGTAACCAGTTTCTGGTGGGAAAGCAATGATAACTCCCAAGCCATTTGAGAACTGGCTCTCTAGATTCACACTTTCTTAGCACCATTTGGTACCACAAATGTGTACGAAGACTCGAGGGAAGAAATTGCTTTGAAAAAAAAATGGCTTGTTGCACACGTCTCTTCAAGAGATTCGTGGAAAAACATCCTTCCTTGTGCATTTGCATATTAAAATATCACTGAAATGCCTTTTTATGGTAAAACAGAGCCAAGAACATGACACAGAYGTGAAGCTACTGCTTTTCCACAGAAGCTGCTGCAGCCGTGGAGGGAACCTAAACTTTGGTTGTTGACACACTGTTCTTGWGAGCAACAAGAGAGATTGTGTTCATTGGGCCAACCCCATCCTTCTTGCTAAAAGCAGGCTCAGGTTTCCATGTATATTTTCAAATCAAATTAGAAACGCTGCTCCYGAGACCTCCTTCAGCTGACAGTGACGGATTGCACAACCTGATAAACAGGAGGCATTCCTGGAGCTGTGCTAACACCCGAGTCACCACAAGTGCTTGGATAATAAAAACATGCACCAGTGTATTTAAATTAGCAGAGAACTTTACCTCTTCCCCCAAAGCAGCCCATTCCTGGGGAGTGGCCACTTCCCCAACAGAAATGGGAAAGGTTTGTTTCTATGTGAGGAATTGTGTTGTAGTGGATGGTGAAAGGCTGTTTGCTCAGTGCTAAGAAAGGAGGCAAGGAGCTGCAGAAAACAAAATTTATGGTAGAAGGGAATGTTTTTATTGGTATTCAGCAATAATGGCAATTTTCCTTTTCCACAAAGTTGTTTATAGAGGCAGATGAAGTCATATTAGCCAAAATAGTTTACAATTAATACAAAGTAATGGCATGGTCAGTAGCTCAGCAGTGTATCTTGTGCAAGTGCAGACAGCTCTTGTAGCAGCTAACTGTGAAGGCTACAGAGGCAGTTCTCCAAGGAAGATTCAGCTTGGTCAGAAAACATTACCTATGGATACCTGAAGGAGCTGTGCAAAGGTACCAGTTGCCTGTGTGTAAATGAGTAGTGGAAGATGAAGAGACATGCTGTGGTCTACACTTAGGAGAGTGAAGTTTTGCCTCTGGTTACTCAAGGAAAACACCRGTTTCTTTGTTACAATGCAAGAGCTGGGGAAGGGAAAGTGTGTTCKCAGACTCTCAGCCTATTTCACAGACATTGGCATTTTCTTTCTGTTTAATTTGTRCTGAATTTGGGCACAGACCAAACCCCTCTCTCTGCAGTGCTTCCCCGGTGCTTTGATTCCACGTTCAAATGCTCATGAGGCAGGTTCACRTCGAGGTTCGTCCCTTTGTTCTCAGAGGTTTGCCTGGCTGCTGCCTTTTACTGTCTCCTCTGCCTCTAAGAAAAACTGATGTTATCTCCTGAAGTGAAAACTCCAGGTTCTATTTGTAACTGAGGATTTCCTGTGTGCCTTTCCCCAGCCCGTGCAGTGACGGCAAGAGGCAGCAGCGCACGGGCTGAGAGTCTYCAGAGAGCTCTGAGAGCAGTCCCCACACAGGAGCTCAGGAGCTGAAGAAATCCCCAGCCACCCATGCCTTTGATCTCAGATAAAGGTCAACCTGTCTGGTAGAAAGTGTGATGGGAAATGCTCCCACATCAGCCTTCACTTTCTCTTCCTTACCCTGAAGTGATTCATTGTACCTGTCAGGGTATGCCTTCACCACAGCACCGATGGTGTTTGGTTCTTGGGAGCAGCTTTATTCATCTCGTGCAGCAGCTTAAGCCAGGGCAGRCAAGATTTCATGTGAGCTGCTAAGAGACTGCCCACAGCTCTTGTTATTACAACAGTGTTTCACAGCCCTTGTTGGATTTTGTTGGTTTGTTGGGGTTTTTAAATCATAGAATCATTTATGTTGGAAAATACCTTTCGGATCACTGAGTCCAGCCATCAATGCAGTGCTGCCAGGTCACCACTAAATCAAGTCCCTAAGTGCCATATCTGTGCACCTTTTAAATCCCTCCAGGGCTGCTGACTCAACCAGCTCCCAGGGCAGCCTTTCCAATGGTTTTGGTGAAGAAAATTTTCCTGATACCCAATCTAAACCTCCACTGGCACAACTGGAGGCCATTTCCACTTGTCTTGTATAACGTGTAATAGGCCTACTGGTGTGTTAAAAATGAGTTTTACTGGTCTTATCCCAACAAACACTGAGTTTTTGAGGCTCTTGGAGCACTGATGCTCACAAAGTTCCACCTGGCACAGCCTCAAAGTCACTGCCACTGCCACGCAGAGCTTTGGGGAGCTGCAGGTTCCAGTTGTTTCTCCTGCTACCACCTCTGCAAGATTGTCACCGATGAGGGAAGTACCTGGCTTACACATGCTGCAGGTAAGACTGGCACAACAATTTGGTTCATGATTTTGTTATAAAGGCTAATGGGGGTGTGTGTTTAATTGCCTTTGAATTCCTCTGTAACTTTAGAAATGTTGCAGCTGAGAAGATTAGTTATTAACTAACATGTAACTTGCAGAAAGAAAARCCACTTTTGCTGCTGAGTTTCTGCAAAGCCATGTTGGCTTTGTGACTGGCCTGCTCAAATTAAGGCCGTGCCAGGATGTAACCATATGTGCCAGTTTATTCTCCAGAATGTACCTTTCCTCTCTCTAACCAAAATTTCTCACAGCTGTAATTGCCAGGAAAAATCTAGTGAGATGGGCTTGTGTGAGGTGCAGGAATGTTTGCTTGAGCCTGTGGAGAGCCTTCAGATATCGCTGGAGGGTTTTCCCTTCTTTCAGTGAAGTATTAATTCAGGTGCCAGGTGACAGTAAACACCTGCCAGCACTCTTGGTTATTTGACTGACCCATTTAAGCCCAGTATTATGTTTCTAAAATCAAGCTCTTACACTTGGCATAGATTTTCTTAAGGTGGTACTGGCTTTAGAGATATGAAAGGAGAGGTCTTGAGGTGTTTTTATGGTRGTATCCTAGGAAAAATGCACATGGACTTCTGTGGCAACATAATCAATTGGTAAATGTGTTTTCAGTGGTGGAAGAGAGCCCTGCTGCATCCAAAGGCTYCAAGATGGACTTGCACCACTAAGACCACTCTGCAGGAGTAATTTTTTTTCATTTTCTTAGTAATTTAGGTTGTATTTTTTGTTAATTTAAACTCATACAAGTTCCAAGGTGGATTTTTTTTTTGGTGAAAGAGATTGTTTAGTATGTTTCAGATAAACTTAGGGCTGCARTGATGCTTAGCCAAATACCGGAAGTCTCAACTTTGTTATGAAACAATTCTCCGAATTTTGATGTGCTTTACATCAGTTTCCCATGTTTTTTTGGTTGCCTTTTAAAATACTCCCCTCACTGAAAAAAAAAAACTAAAACAAAACAATCCCCCAAAAAACATACGTGAAAAATATMTGACCATAAAACTACTGGCTTGGAAAGCATCCCTGTATCTCTTTGGTCTCTTGGCAGAGACGCAGTGGTGAGCTTTGSATGGGACCTTGCCGAGGCTGGGCTGGAAAGGCGGGAGAGAGAGCCGGGTCAATAACCCGTGTCATCTCTTGGCGCTGCAGTGCGAGCCGTAAAACGRTGGGAAGAGCCGTTTCCTATCTCATGGCAGTATGACAAGAGTGAATGCTTCCCGAGGTCCTCTGCAATAGGCTGAAAGAAGCAGAAAATATCTTGTGAGTATAAACGTAGGGCTGTTCCACCGGGCTTGGACGGMGCTGATGGTAAAAGACAGTCAAGAATTTCTCTGTAACGCTGTCCGAGAAGCGAGGCAGAATTTCAGCCTTTCAGCAGAGCGCCGTGTCCGGCGGTGCCCGCCCGGCCGGGCGCAGGCGGGGGCAGCGTGTGCGGACCGGGCACCTCCGGCTCCGCCGGGCCGGGCCGGGCCGAGCCCCCGGGGCGCTCCCTCTGCCGGCGGGGCCGTAAACCGGGAGGAGCCGCGTTCGCGGGACAACGCGGGGCCGGGGCCGGAGAGGGGCAGCTTCTCCCTCCCTCTCTCCTTCCCCGCCGGCCCTCGGGAGCGGCGGTGCCCGCGCGGGAGCGACTCCCGGCGGGAGGGCGGGGAATCCACGCCGGGATTTCGGAGGCACACTGACATCAGGGGGGCGCGGCCGGCGGCGGGCGGGGGCTGCGCGCTGAAAGGCGGCGGGGCGCGGCCCGAGTCACTCCGGAACGGCGGCGGGGCAGCGCGGAGCGGCTGCCGCCACTGCCCGGGCTGGATCCGCGCCGCCAATGTGCCGCGGGAGGCGGGCGCTCACCCCGGCCCTAGGTAAGCCCGGGCGGCGCTCACCGCGCCGCACACCCCCCCCTCCCGCCGGGTCAGGTGCGGGCGGGCCGCCGGGGGTTCCCCGCGCCGCGCTGGGGCGGCCGCGCTGCGAGGCGTGCGAGAGGTGCGGGCGAGCCGCGCTCGCTGCTCCGCGGGGCAGCGGGCGGGAGAACGGGGACTCGGCTCCCCGGGCTGGCAGCGCTGAGCTGGGCGCGATTCGCTCCTCGTAGAGAACCTCCGGGTGGGTGCTCGCCCGACGCGCGGTCTCCGGCGCTCCGGAGCCTTGCGCGACCCTCTCGAGCCTGCGGAGACCTCGGTGCCAGACTGCGGCGTGCGGGGCTGCCTCTCCCCGCCGCGTCCTGCCCCGAGCCTGTCACCCGGCCCCCGGCAGCGACAGCTAGCACATGGCTGTGTGCAGGGAGCTTGCAGGGCCATTGCGTTGCGCTGCCTCTGGCTTCGTTTGCAGTTCGCTGAGCTCTGCCTGGAGAGTCAGAGCCGCTTCGCGATTGCTTTAAAAAGAAAACAAAAAATCAAACCGAAAAAAAGAAACCCAACCGAATCTTTCGCACCAGAGGTTGTGGTTGCACTTTGCCAGACGGGACTTGCGGCAAGAACCATGCGGTGAAGCCGAGCGCCGGAGCGGACCGCAACCCTGCACTCTGCGATCGAGAAGGGAAATAACAAACAGCCAAAGCAGGAGCCGCGCACCCGCCGCCTCTTCCAAAGACCTGCATCGCAACAGCCCCGCTGCCTGCCGCAGCCTGCAGCCGCCTGAGGCTCGATCCAGACACTCAGCTTTGCAGGAAGGGCTGGATTTGCTCCCCGTCGCCTCCTGACCGAGACAGCTGCGGCCGAAGGAGAGCACCGCTTCCCCGGGCGGCCCGGCCCGCTGCACGCTGACCTCCGGGAGAGGAGGCTGCGGTGGGCACCAGTAGGACGTGGACACCGGCGAGCGAGGGCTGTGCGGGGCTGTGCCGGGAGGGCGAGGAACCGGGACCCCGCTGCCCCCCGCCCGCTGGATTTGCCGTTCCCGGTGTCTCCGTGTACATCAGTAAGTCGCGACCCGTGCGCTCRCACCGGGGCCGGCGCTGCCGCGGCGAGCAGGTGCCGCGGGGCGGCCCCGACCACCCTCCCTCCGGCCTCCCCCCCCCCGGAACGGAGGGACCGGGCAGCTGCGGAAAGGCTCACTWGGGACCGCGGCCGGCTGCGAATGAGCACAACGTCGAAAACTCGCCCCAAACGCACCCCGCAGGTGGGGGCCGGAGAGGCTGAGGCCGGGGGGTGCCGAGCCGGAGCGCGGGGAACCCCCGGGGCTGAGCGGCCGCCCGGCTGCCGCTTTAAGCGCCAGACAATCTGCCGTCCCGAGGCAGGGCTGGGCCGAGCTGTGTCTTTCCCTGTGGAAGAGGGAGAGACGGAAGGAAAGGAAAAAAAAAGCGCCCATGTTTTCATTCATAACTTTTTTTTCTTCCCCTTTTCCCCTCCTCTTCCTTCCTCTCCGTCAGCGCCGTGATCCGCTCCGCTCCGCTCGGGGCGCAGAGGGCGCCGCGCCGCCGCCGCCCGCCCGAGGCTGCGGGGAGCGGGGCGGGCCGGGGGGGCTGGCGGCGTGTCCGAGCGGCGGGTGTGCAGAAGGGGAGGGAAACGGGATCCCACCCCCGAGGTGCGGGGAGGGAGCGCAGCCCCGGGTGCAGAACCCTGAGGGCTCTCGCCTCCTGCGCCGTACGTTATTTTATTATTTTGTTTTACTYGTTTTTATTTTATTGTCCGGGGGGAGAACCACTTTACGAGCGATCTGCGCGGGGGTGGAGGTGGCTGGTTCAACTCTCGCCCCGGTCTGCAGCTGGGCTTGTCAGTCTGTGCGCCGCGTTGATGTTGCGCTTTTCCCCCAAAGATGGCACTGGATGTCTTTCGCATTTTCTTGGGATATTGTTTTTCATCCCCTAGGGAGCCCAGCTCCTGGCTGGTACAGCTGTAAATCTTTCCCTTTTCGCATTCATTCACCCTTGGTCTGTTGTGGATTTGTATTCAGTGCTCGTGAAGAAGGCAGCTTGTTGTGTGGGGTAGGAGGAAATTCTTTGCTGCAGGGTGGTGAGGCTCTGGTACAGGAAAAAGCTGTGGATGCCCCATCCCTGGAAGTGTCCAAGGCCAGGTGAGATGGGGCTCTGAGCAACCTGGGATAGTGGAAGGTGTCCCTGCCCATGGCCAGGGGCTTTGGAACTGCAYGGTCTTCAAGGTGTCCCTTCCAACCCAGAATTAAAAGTGAGAATGTTTGCTTTTCTGTTTAATCTGGTGACCATAAAGCCTACACAAGTTATGTTAGATATAAAATGAAATCTTTGACTACTGAATGAGAACAAAGGCTTTGTGTTCTGGCAGAAGCTGTTGCTTTCTGCCCACGATGATTGCCTGTTAGGAGAAACCTGTCTTCTTCTCATCCTTTCTGTGCTTCCACACCACCGTGCCTTTTGCTCTCTGGAGTGGGAAACAGCTCCCTGCTAGCTGTGGTCTGGGTAGKCAAGACACTTTCTTAGGGTTATTGGATGAGTTTTGGAAATGCTTGRTAGCATCTACCTTTCTCTGCTTTCAGGTAAACACTTATGACATCTTGGGGGAGTAAAAAGGGAGTTTTCCTTTGGCTGACAGTAAAGAAGAGCATTTTGTCTTGGTTCTCTGGCACTTAGATACTCAACTACATTTTTGTGTGGATACAGAACTGTCACTGCAGTTTTCTCAATGTTGCAATCTTCATGTCTCTAGTTAGGCAGRATGGAAAGGGATGGAAATGTGTAGCATCTCAACTATTGTACTATTTAGAAGATAGACTGTAAGATGTTCTGTTTATTTGAGAAACTTTTAATCTGTTTTGTGAAAATGGATTTGTTCTTTGTGTTTTGAGGTTGTTGAGGGTTTTTTATCTGCTCTTAACATTCTGATGAATCCTCAGGTACTTTTTGTCTGACACCTGGTTCATCTAAGCCTTTTCTACCCTGTTTTTCTTCCACACTCGGGCCTGTGGTCAGGAAATATTTGAAAACAGGTTGTTTGCACCCTTGCTTTAATTTTATAAAGGAGCATATTAGATCTGTAGGCTGAGTTATTTTCTCATAGAAAATGTCTTGGCCACTTGACAGCACTTAGTTCAGGACTCTGTAATGCACATACGTCACTTTAAGAGGGAGACTTTCCAAGTGCACTCGGAAGCAAATCTGTGGAGCTTTCTGATGCTACAGATTCAGACAGAAGAATAAGARTTTGGCATGTTCCTCCTTCTGCCATACAGAACAGGAACATGGTGGTGTTCTTGGCTGTTTSCAACTCAGTGTTGGGGGCATTTGGAATTGCTGTTGCTAGAGACAGATGTTGAGTTCAGTAGCAAGGGAGAGGCACTTCCCATGGCTTGCTAAGTAAACATACAAGTTAATACTGGATGGTTTTTTAATTTTTTTTTTAAATGGCATGGGGTCTCCTTTGCATTCCTCATCTATGATGCCATACCCAGACTCTCCCCATTACTGGACTTTGGCCAGATCCTCAGCATTGCTGTAATCCTTTGCTGAAAGTGATCGGTACCAGGTGGCTGGGGCAGTTAGGGGTTTGCCAGATCATTTCTGTTTTCAAAAAGTATCCCATGCTTTATCCCTCTGCTGCCCTTGATCTCTTGTGTTTGTATGTGTGTGTATGTGTGTGTGTGTGTGTGTGTGTGTGTGTACACACGCAGTGTTTATTTACACCTTCTGTCTCCTTTCTTATTTTAGGGTTTCAGATGCATGCCAGGTTCCCGCTGAATGCCAGCAGCAGAGATCACTACAGATGGAGCCCCAAAGTCAGCATGGCAGTGGCGGTTCCCTGGTGGTGATTCAGCAGCCCTCCCTGGACAGCCGGCAGCGCTTGGACTATGACAGGGAGAGCCAGCCCACGACCATCTTGTCACTGGACCAGATCAAGGCCATCAGGGGCAGCAACGAATACACCGAAGGGCCGTCTGTGGTGAAAAAGTCGGGTCCGCGGACGGCACCRAGGCAGGAGAAGCACGAAAGGACTCACGAGATTATACCAATTAATGTGAATAATAATTACGAACACAGGCCCGGCCATGTGGGGCACGTGGCACATCAGCAGAACGCCAGGGCTCCCGTCCTGAGCCGATCGACCAGCACAGGGAGCGCGGCCAGCTCCGGCAGCAACAGCAGCGCCTCCTCGGAGCAAGGGCTGCTGGGGCGCTYGCCGCCGTCCCGGCCGGGCTCCGGCCACAGATCCGACCGGACAATCCGGGCGCAGCCCAAGCAGTCGTCCCTGCTGGCGGACGATCTGAAGGGTCCTTTGAAAGAGGACTTGACGCAGCACAAGTTCATCTGTGAACAGTGCGGGAAGTGCAAGTGCGGGGAGTGCACGGCGCCGCGGGCCCTGCCCTCCTGCCTGGCCTGCAACCGGCAGTGCCTGTGCTCAGCCGAGAGCATGGTGGAGTACGGCACCTGCATGTGCCTGGTTAAAGGGATCTTCTACCACTGTTCCAACGACGATGAAGGGGACTCGTACGCGGATAATCCCTGCTCCTGCTCCCAGTCACACTGCTGTTCTAGGTACCTGTGCATGGGAGCCATGTCCTTGTTTCTGCCTTGCTTGCTCTGCTACCCTCCGGCCAAAGGATGCCTAAAACTCTGCCGGGGGTGCTACGACCGCGTCAATCGCCCGGGGTGCCGGTGCAAGAACTCCAACACAGTCTATTGTAAACTGGAGAGCTGCCCCTCCCGGGGTCAGGGCAAGCCCTCATGATTTTGGGAGGGAGGTTTACCTCCTCCAACTTCAGTTTTTCAGGTTGTAGCTGATTTTTTTCCCTCTTYCTCTTTTCTTCTTCCCCCCTYCTCTCCCATTTTGGGAGGACTGTTCTTTTCCTTTCCTTTCTGTCTCCCCAACTTCAGATACATGAGTTCTTCCCTTTGCATCTTYGCTCTCCTCCTCCTGCTGACTTGGCTGAGTGTGGAGCGTTTCACGCAGTCATTGCTGCTCTTTGGTAAGTGTGGACCTGGTATCTGCACCTGCCGCTCACTTGGGCAGGGTCTTTGAGTTTGTAACTGAACCACTCCTGAAAGAGACAGTGAAGGCTCACTGGGCTCTTGAAGCTTCTTGCTCTGTGAATATCTTCCCAAAGATTTTTTTTTTTTGTTCTCAGCAATTTATGGTTTTTTTCCTTAACCTCCCGGGTGCCAAGGAAGAATAACTTTCCTGAGTGAGATGGATTGTGAAATAACTTTTTGTGTGTTCTTTCTGGAGAGGGATRTAAAATAAAGGCTTCACCAAATGAAAGGCCTGACTCTTCTATAAGCAGCCTGCTTCTTTTTGCATCTTTTTTTCCACACCGCCCCTCTCTTTTTGTCTTAACTTTTGGAACATTCTCAGACCTGAGAATTGCCCTGCCTTTTTTTTTTTTTTTTTTTTTTTTNTTTTTTTTTTTTTATTTTTTCTTTTTTTACATTTTCAATGTAACTTCAGTTTTTGTTACACTGTGTAGATCTTCACATTGGAGACATTGTGGCTGCAACATACTCATTTGTTTCTTTTGCTGTCTGATCTTTGAAGGATATTGCTCACTCCACCCTCCTAATCCCGTTTTTTATAGTCTGTCAGTATCAGTTGATATTAAAGTTGGTGGTGTTTATATATCCAAACAGCCTTCAGGTGTCATCGAGTCACCTAAATGTTCTTGAATCCTTCAAGTTTCTTGTGATCCTTTTGCTTAATGAGTTTAGCTCTGCCCTGTACTTTATAATTTTATTCTGTCCCTGTTTTATTGCCTTAGCCACAAATTGTGGTCCTTTTTTGTATATTTTATGTATAAAACACAAAGTTGAATCCCAACTATTTTTAAGACAAAAGTCTGTTAAAACTTTTTTTATTGTAAAGAATATTTATTATGTGAATCTCTATTATTTTATGATATTTATTGCAAAAGACTTCAAAAATGTACTCATGTCTGAATATAACAAAATATCAATACTTAACGAAATAAGGATGACACGAAGAAAGTACATATGTTAACTATAATGCAGAAAATATATTAATTAATGAACATGGCTCTGGAGTTCTTTTGTTAAAATGACAAGTTGTGAGCTGCGTGTGTGCATTGCTGGTCTGTTCCTCCTTTAGGTCTGTCAGGTGGCAAATAACTTCCTATTGATACTTCAAAGCCACTAGTCTGTGCTCTAGTTTAGTTTACCTAATTTTAAGTTTAGGCCAACTCTGTATCAAATAGATTTTTGCTACAGGATGTTTAATACAATTGAATCTRTGTTGTGCATAACAGTGCCAAGAAAGGGAGGCTCTATTTATTTACCAAAGCATTTGGAAATACAGTTGTGGAGGAGGAAACCACAACTTCCAAGCTGGGGCTTTTTTATGTTTCTCAAGGAATACCACATTAACATGCAAAGCCTTTTAAAATTTTCCTATCTTGGCTGGTTAAGTTGTGCAGCAACTGAAGAAATTAATCTCCCCAGCTCAATTCTAAATAAAAAGCTAGAGGCAGGATGAAAAACAGTGATTGTATTGCTGTMGTTTGGTAGCTTTGAAATCTGGAAATGTGTGTGTATGTTTGGGCCTGTGCCTATGACTTACTCGGTTCTTTTCCCATACATTTTCCAATGTCAACTGAATCTTCTGTCTTTAAATTAAAGACTCTTAAGGGTGACCTAAGTGTCACAGCTACTTGTGGCCATTTAACACACATTCAAAAGAAAAAGCTTTTCATTAAGAGTGAATAGGGAGACCTCATTCTTTTCCTCATGTGGGTCAAGGTTACATCACAATTCTCCCAAAGTTTAAAAGTTTTAAAATGGATGTAATTTCACATAATGTTCAGAGTAAGTGGTTTAGAGAAACTCCACTTCAGAACATAGTAATGACTTGACAAATATGTCATATCTTGCTTTTTTAAACTCCTGCTGCTTTGAATTGCTATATTCAAGCTGCTCTGACTCCCGCACAGTGATGATTTGAACAAGCTTGATTCTTTGTAGTTAATTCCATCCCAGCTGATGCAGTGTCATGGCATGGAGCTGACTGAAAAGCTTCATTTTTATTAAAMAGCACAGGTGACCTCTGAGAGGTATAAAGTGAAATCATCACCTTGCTCCACCTAGGAAACTCCTTGTTTTACAGGATGTGGGTGCTACTGCTGCTGTGTGTGTGACAACAGTGATGGGCTGGGGGGCTCGTGGGGCAGCAGTGGATGTACAGGAATTCAGCCTTCCAAGGTTTCCTGAGATGAAGCAAAGCCAGGAGAAGAATGTTTCTGARGAGCAGAGACTTGCACTCCTTCACTATCAACGCTGCGTCTGTAACAGCGACAGCTGCAAACAGCCCCGGGGAGACAATGGAGGCCTTGTCCGGYGCTGGTCAGAGATGTCCACTGCTAACTGTGTGCTGACACTCRGGAACACGGAGCCAACTGCCTCTGCAGCTGGAGCCCATCCAGCTCTGTGCTCACTACCTTTGCTCCAAAGCTGCTGCTTGTGCCTACTCAAGGAAAATGTTACACTGTGTGCCTCTGTCCCTTTTTTTTCAGCCAGGTGACTTACCTGGGGGTTTGGGATGGCACCTTAGTAGAAGACAAGAAATCCTACAGGACCCACGTGTACTCCATCCTTTAGTGATTGACTTCTATCACGAGCATCATAGTCATGCCACTGTTTTAGTTCTCTTTTYTAAAACAAAATCAACAAAAGCTATGCTCTAGTTAGTCACACTAAGGCTCCCTTTACTAACTAGATTTTCGGAATAACTTCAGGTTGCAGTTGTTTTGGAGAAAAATTTGACTTGGACTTATGCAGCAACTTACATAACAGTTCCTTGCAGGTCTTACATGGTTTTCTAATTGCCAGGTAGAGCAGGCTGTGTTAAATAAATGAGAATAACMTGTTTTTTTCTTGGGTTAGATGCTGTATGGTTTGTATTTAATATACATTTGAGTTGACTTTGGGGTACTCTGGAATGTAAGGTCATTACCATTATRTCATGGAAATGACTGGGAATTCATTCAGGCAGATGGATTTTGTGGTGTAGAGCCACTCGGGGTTGCGTGAGAGCACATGAATGTCTTTCCAGCTGAAAGAGAATGGAGCAAGCTGACAGATGGATGAAGTGAAGCTGTGAAGCCTCCACAGCTTGAAGAGACACAAGTTACTTTAAATATGCCCCAAGTGGTCAGCCATTGTAGTCTGTTCTACTTTCCACAGTGGAATGGCTATTCAAGGATGTGGTGTTCTGTTGGAAAGGGGTTTGGTGAGGGCTGAGGGGATTTCCAGCAATTAGGGCACTGAAGTGCAGATTTCARTCCTTCAACCCCAAATTTGTCAGTGGGCTGTTTGAGGTTACTCCTTCCTGCTTGCAGAGCGCCAGACTGTCAGAGCCTGGTACAACAGAGGCCATAAAAATTACTTCTTTTCTGATAGCTTTGAGATCTTGTTTTGAGAAGCCAAGAGAACTGCATAAAATGTTGGTGTAATTAGGCTGTAAGTTCAGCTGACCTACTGACCTAATTGCATTGGGGGGTGATGGATTTGGCCAAGGCTGCCATCTGCTTCCAACAGCAGAGGCCTTGGATGTGCGAGGTCTGGGTTGAGAGAAAAGGGGAAGTCCAGCGAGCTGCAATTCAACTCTTGTTTTGCTTGATGTCTCAAAACTCGTGATAAGAGATGAGTTTAGGAAACAATAATTTTTCAAGAAAAAACATGGGTAGATAAAGTTTCCATATTCCATGTCAGAGGAATCCATGGCTGGGAGGAGAATTTGCCCTCTGTTTCTCCAAAGACGGCKCCATTACACTGATGCTGGAGTGGGTGAGTGCGTTATCCAAGGGGGGATAATRCCTAACAAATGAAAAGTACTTGCTCTTGTTTATGGTTCCATATCATAAAGACAGGTGGGAGAGGATTAGCTCCTCTGTCTGTGATAAAGCAAATCTGTTAAGAGGGATTAAACGGGCTAGATGAAGTGTTTTAATGGACTTATATGAAGTAATAGATTTTTGTCCTGGAGGAATGTTCAGGACTCACTAATACTTCTGCATTTCTCGTTCTGCTAAAATTACCTCCTAACTCTAAGGAATCCTGATTAATTGTTGGCTTTCTTCCAGCTGGAGCATTTGTGTCAGTCATGGTGGTGCTTCAAAAAGCCTGGAATAAAATTCTGTTCTGTTGTCACACAGCTGGATTTCCCAGCCTTACAGCACAAGGGGCTGCACAGGTCTCATTCTGATAACCTCTCATTTAGTGGACAGGTTGCTTTTAGGGCAGCTCTTAATTATCTGTACTTCTTCCCTGTGGTGGTATTTCACCTTCCTCTGGCTGGTGGAAGGAGCCAAGGCRTGGCTTCTCCCCTTGGCATATGGAGCCTGTGTTAATGAGCTTTCTGCTTACTGGAAGGATCTGTTCAAAAAACTTGTGATCTCCTGAGTGACATTTACAGCTCCGTTTATATTTGTGAGAAAGAGATGCAGGGCTGTTGGTTTTCCCAGGAGCTGTCATTCCTATTTCTCCAGGTGAAGGTGTTTTGAACTAAGATACTGCCTCATTTACTCACTAATAARTACAAATTTGGGAAAGGGTTTCACAAACCACACATGGTCTGGCTTTTTAGTTTAAGTATATRGGGGTGAAACATTAGTCTTAATGAATAACTTTTGATTTTAGCATCAAAAAAGAACCAGAAGTTCACCTGGATTTTTCAGTATTCCTGATCCATGCACATGACAGTATTATAAAAGAAACAGTGTGTTTTCAGGAGAAGTGCATATTCCAAAATTAGCTTAAAAGTATAGTTGCTCTTTATTTTGGAGCAAAGAAACATACATCCCTTGAGAAAGGTGTGCCTGATAGCCGTGGCTCTGGCCTTGTAAGCACGCCCTGTTTTCTGAACCTTTGTCTACGCTGACCTGAAAACAAACATCCTCCAGAACACCATGTCAGGAGGCACAAACAGCCTGACAGAGGCTCTGCCCCCAGGGGCTGAACCCCATTGTATTTGTGCAAGAAGGAGCACAATGGGACATCCTGCCTGACCCCTCAGGGTCGCTGCCATAGTATGACCGGGTTTATTCCATGGAATATTACTTCTGAATGGAGTTGATGGATTTACACCAGTGAATGAGCTGGCCAGAGACCGAGTGCTTGCACCACCTTAGGAATGTCTAGTGTTCATAAATGTTAGGATATTTTTAGTCTGTAGGATAAAGCRACTGTGAGGAGTAGCTGGAGCACCCTAAATATATGCTGACATTACATTAACTACTTAATGGCTATTGTAAATGAAACTTTCTGTTTTCTGGCACATGCTTCAATTTCCAAACCACCTGAGTGTCCTTCCAGTGCCATGAGGATTCTTCTTCCACACTCCAAGCAGGAGCAGGAGATGAATTTACATGATCTAGTAAAGGCTTTCTCCAAAGCATTGTTTCTGGTGTGATGTCAGATTTGTTGCTTTTGGATCTGTGCACTTCATGAGTGTGACACTTCCAAAGGGAAATGAATAAACTAGTTGCCTGAAAGGAAGGGGGAAGTGCTGGAGCTTTCCTYTAACTGGGATATTGGGAGATTGCAAAGTACCTTCTTTTTATATCAGTCTCATCTAAATCATCTCATTTACCTGATCCCTTCTTTTTAGGGAGCAATTGTCTGCTTGTTCATTTTTCTACATCGCATGCAAAGTTCTCCTGGATGAAACGTGCTATGACTACACAAGCATCTGTGCTGTCACTGAGGCACTTGTTGATTTAATACATTTTTACATGTCCTCTGTCTCATCCAAATCAAGACAAGGAGAAGCCTGGTTAGTCAGGGTAGGAAATAGGGGGATATCATGATTTTGTTTTGTTACGAAGTTCAACTCAAGGTATGAACTTTGCCAAACTTTGGCTGTACCTGGGCTCGAGTTTACTGATCTGCCAAGAGTATGTGAGGAAATACTATTAGAGTTGAAAACGCTTCAATTCTGCTGCCTTAAATAGTCAAAGGATCTCTSTGTAGCAAGTGGTAGACACAGAAGATGCTCTTCCAGAGTCTTCACCAAGATTTTTGTATGGGCTTTCAAACCTTCAGTTTTAAGGCCCTGTGTGCTTGTTTCCCCACTTTCMATCCCTTGCACTGTCCTGGAGCACGAGCACTTGCCATGGTAGCTCCAGAGTCATCCATCACTGCTGTCAGATGCAGGTAACATCCCCTGGAAAAGTTAACCTAATTTACTCTCCCTGCTGAAAACTCTTAACACACTGGATTTTAGAGAACTTTAATTGTTCAGGTAAAAAAATTACAAAACCTCTATATCTCAGAGCATTTTGCACTTGGACTTAAATTCTTTTAAATTAACTGTAYCTGATAAGACAGCTCTGAAAGAATTCTCTTTGGCTGCTGGGAAAACTGAGGCTGGAGGGCTGTGTGGAGAGGCACTGGCACAACCAGGAGCCTCTGACCAGCAGTGTTTAATTACTGAGTTGTTCTGTGCAGAAGGATGGATGGATGGATGGATGGATGGATGGATGGATGGATGGATGGATGGATGGATGGATGGATGGATGGATGGATGGATGGATGGGAGGGAAAAAGCTCTTCCTGCTGGAAACTGTAGCACTTCTTGGAGGATATTTAAAAGTTGTATGTTGTAACATGCCACAGATGGGGTGTGTGTATGTATGGAGGCTTAGAAGGGTTTTTAATACTCTAGGGGGAAAATATATAATCCTGAAACAGGGACCAATTTGAAATGTTCTTGGTACAGCACACTCTACGGTATGATCCACCTGTAATGAACAGTTTCCACACTCAATAGTTTTCGGGGTTTTTTTTAGTATTTGAAAATGGCAGTGGTGCTGATATCTGGGTGTCAGCGTTTGGATATGTGGGAAACGAGGCAAGAGCCTAAATAATACACGTTACTTGCAGGGCTGGAAACCAGAGCCATATCCTATGGCCTTCTAATTAAAACTCTTTATTTCCACAGATTAATTCTGTGGGCCCTACTAAATAGATCAGCCTTGGGTTTCTGATGGTGACTACTTGAGGAGGAATGTCGCCTTTGTTCCCCTGAATGGTGGGGAGCAGATTACCGGGCTGCCAATTTCCTGCTGCCTTTCAGAGCTGCAATTTGAGCCCTATTTGCTCCTGGCTCTTGCACAATTGGAAACAATGGATGGCTTCTTTCAGGTTTCACTTCAGAGCTCTTAGAAACTGGGGAAGTGGCAAAAGCCCTACTTTACAGGTAATTAACAATAGATAATGTTTGCTCTGCG